CTGCAGTGAATGGGTGCCGTCAGAATGAGAGTCCAAACAGCTGATAAAAACATCACAGTAATCCACAAGTAATTCACAAGACTCCAGTCCATCCATTAACATCTTGTGAAGTGAAAAGCTGCATGTTTGTAAGAAACAAATCCACCGTTAAGACGTCTTTAGCATTAAACCAGTGCTTCCGGCAAAAATACATAATGCATAATATTGCTTTCTCCAGTGAAAAAGTAATCTCATTTGAATCAGGAGAGAAATATGCACAGATTAAGTTACAAGTGAAAACGGTCCAAAACAGTTGTAAACAAAAATGTCAGTTTTGATGTGAAAGAACAACAGAGTGTTTATTGATGTGAAAGAACACAGATGGATTTTGTCGCTGGAGGAAGCATTATTATGGATTGTGGTGTTTTGGCCAGAAACAGCCAAACAGGAACAGTGATTTGAAATGGTTTGAAATCCCTTAATGATGGATTTGTTTCATACAAACATGGAGCTTTTCACTTCACAAGACATTAACTGATGGACTGGAATGGTGTGGATTACTGGTGAATTATTGTGATGTTTTTATCAGATGTTTGGACTCTCATTCTGACCGCACCCATTTACTGCAGAGGATCCATTGGTGAGCAAGTTATGTAATGCTCAATTTCTCCGAATCTGTTCTGATGAAGAAACAAACTCATCTACATCTTGGATAGGCTGAGGGAGAGTACATTTTCAGCTTATTTTCATTTTTGGGTGAACTATTCCTTCCTTTGCAATTGTCCAGTTGCAAAGAAAAATTTAAAATAAAATCTCTTCCTCAAGACAGATTGGAATGAGATTAAATGGAGAATTTTGCTTTAGCCTCCTGCTTCTCGTACAGTATGCGTCTCCTCTACAGTTTCTGAAAATAATTAGTTGAGATTTCTAAATGAATATTGTGTAATTTGTGTGTTTTATTGGAGATCGACCATAGCGGACAATTTCACATTGATTACTGAATCACTAGGAAATTGGTCATAAAATGCATTAACTTCTTCAACCTGGACGTCCTGGAGCCAATGGTGATAATTTGAGTGGGGCAGATCCTGTCACATTAGTCAAATCTTCACTGCATATCACAATTTGGTTTTGATTTCAATATTATTAGTGCCTAGATTTGTTTTCCAGAGAGTCAGAACCTCCTAGCTGAACTCTTCAACCTCTATCTGAGTCATAGGTGTAATGTAAGGCCCAGTTATAACATTAAAGCACAGAGTTACAGCATTACAGATGCCTGAGAAGCAGTATATAACTGGGTCAAATGAATGCAATACTGCATCCCATATTGCAATGTACTCAACTTGACTTTCCATTTCCAGTGTGATGTATAAGAGATCAAAAGTGGATGGCAATCCAAAAAATGAATTCTACATGCAAGATGAGGTCACGTGACAACAATATAAGACTCTTAGAAACATAATAATGCCTACTTTTTTACTTGCTGTTTAAAAAAATAAAAGGTAGTGTGCAATGTAGCTGAATACTATATTTTGTATTTGGTTTATAATTAATCTCTTATGTATTGTTCTCATTTGATGCTATTCCAATATAATGTGTGCACTGCACTCATTCAGATTATTGCTATAGTAAAATGTATTTTCAAAGAAGAATAATCTACATTTGTGTATTGCTAGCAGACTAGCCTTATATTTGTAAATTTTTGCATATAGACATTGAAAATTATAGTGAATGTTAGAGTTTTATGCCATCATACTTTTCTTCTTTGCTGCTCCCTATAGGTGCTGAACAAGAAGGAACAAAGAGGTTGTGACAGCCCAGATCCAGAAGCTTCATATGTCCTCACGCCTCACACAGAGGAGAAATATCAGAAGATTAATGAAGAGTTTGACAACATGATGAGAAATCACAAAATTGTGAGCAAAATGTGATGCGTTTTCATCTTGGCATCCCTGTTACACTACACAACTGTTCAAAAGTTTAGGATAGTAAAAAGATTTTCTCTCTCTTTCTCTCTCTCTCTCTCGCTCTCTACTCTTCATATGCTAACCACACCACCTGAAAAACTACATAGCAACACCCTTACAAACACTCTAGCGCCCACATACAGTAGGTAGCAACACTCTAAAAAGCAGCCAAAGCATCTTAGCAACTGCTTAGCAACATCTTTACAACTACAAAGCAACAGTCTAAAAAGCAGCACCCTTACAATCACCCAGAGCACCCTAACAACCACATAGCAACACTCTAAAAAGCAGCCAAAACACCTTAGCAACTACATAACAATACCATAAAAAGAAGCCAAAACACCGTAGCAACCACTTAGCAACATCCTTACAACCACCGAGAACACCCTAGCAACTGCATAGCAACACCCTAGAAATCAGCCAAAACACCTTAGCAACAACAGTACATAGCAACACCCTAATAAGCAGCCAAAACACCATTGCAACTGCTTAGCAACATACTTACAACCACCCCGAACGCCCTAGCAACCGCATTGCAACACTCTAAATATCAGCCAAAACACCTTAGCAACTACAGTACAAAGCAACACCCTAATAAGCAGCCAAAACACCATAGCAACTACAGTGCATAGCAACACCCTAAAAATCAGCCAAAACACCTTAGCAACTACAGTACATGGCAACACCCTGATAAGCAGCCAAAACACCATAGCAACTGCTTAGCAACATCCTTACAACCACCCAGAACTCTAGCATTTGCACAGGCAACCACTACTGTTTAATCTAACTTATCCCTTGACATCTCTCTCACATCATCTTCTCTGTCTCTATCAGCCGGCTGCTTTGGGTCAGCAGAGCTACTCGATACCGTTGACTTTGACCGTCACAAACCCCACCACCCTGTCCTACAGTACAGACAGCTCTCTGGACACCCCAGTGTCCCTCAGCGGGGCTAACATACTGTCTCTGTCCTCCAACTCCCTCCAGAGCAACAACAGCACTGCTGTCATGGGTCAGTATCTACTGTGCATCATTACCATATGTTTTTGAATGCAATACCATCATGATGCGGTTTCCTGCACATGATACATGATAATGCTGTGTTGTAGGGCTGCAAGATAAATCGAAATGGAATCACAATCGCGATTCGACAGAAGCTGCGATTGTGATGCGTATCTTTCAGTGAAGCACGGTTCTGTGATCAGCAGTAAATCTTCATCCAAAGGCCAAAGGGCATTCTCGCGCTGAAACTCCGAATACGCCTCGCAGAAGAAACCAGTGTTGCCAAGTCCGCGGTTTTCCTGCGGCCCCTGGAGTGTGAATTTTACCAGGGGAACCTCGCCAAAAACGTGTATTTTACCCCCGGAGCGTGATTTTTAACGGGGAGCCCCCCTCGAAATGCAGTTGAGTAGCAATTGGGCAGGTTTTGTTGTGAAAACCTGGCAACCCTGGAAGAAACCCAGGAAATGCCTATAGCGGAGTCCAGCCCGGGGTCGTCACATGTGGTTGCCGCAAGCCATTCTCAAGCCCACCCGCCGTCGCTCACTCTAGCCCACCGTGTGTGAAGCTGTGTGTTTCGTTGTGAAAGCGAAACTACTTTGTTTGGTCTTCCAAAAGAGGACACGACAATGCCTTTATCACTGCTTAGAATACTTTGAAATATGTTGCTGGCCTTATTCTGTGTAAGAAGCCACATCATCTCACAGAAGGATTTATTTCACTCGACTGACGTTATGAAGTGAGTTTGGAGTAAAAACATTTTATAAAATGTGATATTTTCACATGCTTTCAGATGGAGCAGCATTTACTTCACAGAGCCGTAGTTCACTGAGAAGCTATGCAAACAGCTGTCATTATCGCGAACGATTTCTTCGATTTCATAATTGCGCAATAATATCGTCTGCGATTTTTTTGCGTAACTTGTCGGTGAACTACAGCTCTGTGTAGTAAATGCTGCTCCATCTGAAAGCACGTGATGATGATTTACTGCTGTTTACAGAACCGGCTTTACTAAAATGCGCATGACAATCGCATTCGATTAATCGTGCAGCCTTGGTGTACAATAGTAATTCCTTTGAGGTAGCTTGGAATACCATGTAAATACAGTGGTTGATATGCTAATAATTTATTTTCATGGTAAATATCAAAATATTATGGTATTGCCATTGCTTTGGTTCAGTCATAACTCCAGTTATTCCAAACCTGTATGAATTTCTTTCAGCTGTTGGACACAAAAGAAGATATTTTGAAAAATGTTTGGTAGCCATTGACTATGGTAGCCGTACTATGTAAGTAAATGGCTACCATCAGTTGCTTGGTTACCAACCTTCTTCAAAATATCTTCTTTTGTGTCCAACAGATAAAAGAAATTCATACGGGTTAGGAACAATTTGAGGGTGAGTAAATGATAAACGAATTTTCATTTTTGGGTGAACTATCACTTTTAAACAGTCATACGAGGGTCTTGTTTGTTTGATTAATTTTCATATGTTCAGATGGCATGCCAGGTTCCTTAGACGTCACTCTTCCAAATGGTCTGCACTCCAGTCATGTGGGTAGGTACTTCCTTTTTTGGTTAACTTTTACAATGTGTTCGAATGTAATGATGAAGTTCCACTAAGGTGCCAGTCTATTTAAAGAACACACATTAAACATGTGATTTACTTCCCTGCACGCTGTGCAATTCTACTTACATGAGAGATAAGATTACAAACCATTCACAAATCAGGTGAATGTTTTTAAAGGGCTGGATGTGTATATAATTTACTGTAATTTACTGTATTATGGACATGAAGCCATCAAGTTGTCACTATACTGTACTGCACTTGTATATGTAGCATATAAATGAAAGTAGCTGAGAATGTGGCAGATCCTGTATGTGTGTTTATACAGTACGTCTCTGTGTGTTAATCACTGATGTTGATTGGTGTGGTCAGGATGCGAGGTCATGACTTCATGCAGGACAAACTGATCTCCTTATCCACCACTAGTCCTTTCTGCGTTCCTGATTTGTCTGTTAATGAAATGCTCCAGGTTAAAGACTAGTGAAGCTCTATGCTGTCATTTACTATAGAAAATAATTTATATGTTTCTCAGTTGAAAAAAGGGAAAAAGAAATGTTTAGAATGCATTTAAATGGTTTAAAGTCAGAAATTATATTCATTCAGATGAGTTATACAATATGTTTATATACAATAAAAATTTGGTTTTTCTATAAGATTATTAAAAGTTTTGGGTCAGTTTTTTAGGAATTTAATACTTTTCTTCAGTAAAGACATTTAAAAGGTTATAAATGATGTTATTTTAAATTGTTTTTGTATTGTAGTTTTGATCAAATAAATGCAGCCTTGATGCAACACGAGAGACTTCTTCAAAGAACATTCAAAAATCTTACTGACCCCAAACATTTGAAACTTAGTGTACATGCAAATAATATTATTCAGTTTACAAAATTATTTTGTCCTTACTGATCCTCCTCATCCGAGGTGTACCTTTTTGACGTTAGCACACAGTTTTAACCTATACCTCACCCAAATTTTAAATAATATCCCTTTTTGTTGTGCCTCATTCAGCCAATGGATTTGTTGGCAGTTCAGAAGGAAACCATATGGGAAGAGTTTTTTCTGCAAATTCTCAAGCGTCGTCTACAGTGGGCCGCAAACCTGATCTCAGAGTGCTCATTCCTCCTGTGTGCAAGGGCACTGTCTCTTCACTGGTGAGAGTTTCTTTTGTCTGCCATCAACAACATGTCTGCAGTATGCCAGTGAAACATCCTGAAATCATTAGACAATGAGAAAGTATTGACCTGTCTGAAACCGTCCTTAAATCTATTTCTTGCAAGCCGCAAGAGGAAGGAGAGGAACATTTGGTAAGAGGAATTTGCTAATATTTTATTCAGAAAAGCTTTTCAAAAATGACTCATTAACTAGGTCATAAAAATGTAGGAAAATCAGTTTTGTTACAGCTGCCTTGTGTTTAACAGTTACATGCTATAAGGCCATCTAGTGGTTCAGTGAAATATTACAATCAAAGCTTACACTGAAACTTTATAAACTGCTCAGTTTATAGTTAAAACAAATATTTAACTGAAAAACTAGTCCCAAAGATTATTTAGACATTTAAGACACATCTGTATATATATTTTGTTGTATTTTATTTTTGCTTCGCTTCTCTTTGCTCTGTTCTGTTCTGTTTTCTTTTCTTTTTGTTTTGCTCCATTATTTAATTTTTTGTTTTGTTTTGCTTTGTTCTGTTCTGTTTTGTTTTTTTGTTCTGTTTTTTATCTTATTTTTGTTTTGCTTTGTTTTGTTCTGTTCTGTTCCAATTTCTCTTCTTTTTTTTGTTCCATTCATTTGTTTTAGTTTTATTTTTGCTTTGCTTTGTTCTATTTGTTTTATTTTGTCTTTTGTTTTGAGTTCTGTTCATTTTGTTTATTTTATTATTTTGTTTTGCTTTGTTTGTTCTGTTCTGTTTTGTTTTTCATTAAATATAGTGACATTTAGTCATATTAAGTATGGCTAAAGTGCCCAGATTTGTTGGTGCTGTTTATGTTAGCTAATTAGCTGCACTTATTCATAATATCAGCTCCAACTTTCTGCATTATTTTGCAAAGTGATGTATGGTAGTCTGCTTACTCTGGCAGTGCAGTATGATGTATCAACACTGATGATTTTGAAGAAAAACCATGAAAATTAATGAATAATGCATATAGACTGAATACAGTGTTATTGTTGTCTGTAAGCAGCTTTTTCCTTCACACAAATCAGCCCCTGTTGTCTCCACCGTGTTCTTCGTTTATTTAAACCTCAGCAAATAGACAACTCTCAGTCCAGCCAATCACTGACCACGCCTGTGGTATCCGTGGCAACCCCCAGTCTGCATCCTCAGGGCCTTGTGTACTCAGCCATGACCTCATCATTCAGTACAGGTGTATAGTTGACCTATACATAATAAATCATCTAATAATACTAGATTCTGGACCTCGTGACACTACTGAATGACTATTTTACTATTTAACTCTTTCGTTTCTTATAGATTTTGCCTTGAGCAGTACAGAGCTCAGTTCTTTACACAGCTTCAGTTCACCAGATGCTGTCACAGCAGCACCAGGGTCTTCATGGAAACACAACCAGCATGGTCAGCCAGGCTTCAGTGCTCAGAGGTGAGATTGTGGGATTGAGGGGTGATGCCACATTATAGCATGCATTTCCTTCATTCACCCATTAGTGTTAAGGTGTTAAACTGCAGACAGATTTTATACCTGATTTGAAATATACTTCATGTTTCAAAAGTTAAACAATGTATTAAATCTGGTCAGAGTTACATTGACTAGCTGGAAAAGCAGGTTTACGAAACTGGACAGAGTCCAGGTAAAAGCCATACCAGTTTTAGATGGTCAGGCCCCTGATCTATAATAGGTCAGTGGACCAGGCTCTTTTTTGTTGGTTTAAATAGCCCAGGCAGGTCCCACCTAACTCCACTTGTCAACTACCTAAACCAGCGTTCATAAAGCATTTTACTTTTTTTTTAATTATTTTTTGTTTCACAGACAGTTACATTTATTATTTTTGCTAACATTTTATTCTTTAGAATAACCCGCATTTATGAATCATGCACACACAGTAAGACCAATAATACTAAATGTAAAACATAATGTCTTTAACTAGATGTAAATTTTGTTTTCATGTTGACTTCAAGACATTCACTTCTGTTGGTGAGTTTGGGATTGGTATTTTTTAATGTTATCTCTCATGTCTCTTATGCTCACCAATGCTGCATTTATTACATCAAAAACACAGAGGCAGGTCCCACCTAACTCCGCTTGTCAACTACCTAAACCAGCGTTCATAAAGCATTTTACTTTTTTTTTTTAAGTATTTTTTGTTTCACAGACAGTTACATTTATTATTTTTGCTAACATTTTATTCTTTAGAATAACCCGCATTTATGAATCATGCACACACAGTAAGACCAATAATACTAAATGTAAAACATAATGTCTTTAACTAGATGTAAATTTTGTTTTCATGTTGACTTCAAGACATTCACTTCTGTTGGTGAGTTTGGGATTGGTATTTTTTAATGTTATCTCTCATGTCTCTTATGCTCACCAATGCTGCATTTATTACATCAAAAACACAGTAAAAAACACTAATATTGTGAAATAAATAAAAAACTAATTTCTATTTGAATATATTTTAAAATGTAATTTATTCCTGTGAAGCAAAGCTGAATTTTCAGCATCATTCCTCCAGTCTTCAGTGTCACATGAGCCTTCAGAAATCATTTTATAATAATTATAATAATTTATTTTGGGATGAGTTCTTTGATAAATAGAAAGATATAATAATAATTATAATAGAAATTGATAAATAGAAAGTTATTATAATAATTATATATATATATATTTTTTTTTTTTGGATGAGTTCTTTGATAAATAGAAAGTTTAAAAGAACAGCATTAAATATTGTCTTTACTGTCACCTTTGATCAATTAAATGCATCTTTGCTGACTTAAAGTATTCATTTCTTTCAAAACATGAGAAGTCTTGGTGACCCCAAACGTTTGAACAGTAGTGTAAATAACATAGTACTAATAACCGTCCTTGTTCTCTCCAGAACCACACAACCTCAAGTTCAGGCCTCTGACTTTTCCACCAACTCCATCAGCATCAAATCAGAGCCCATCTCCCCTCCCAGAGAGCATGCCGGCCACTCGATCTACCCCACCATCCACACCAGGCCTCGGCCCAACTCCAGACAAGAAGTGGGACGCTCTCCTGCCGAGAGCTTCAGCTCTTCTGGGAGTTCATATGAGGGTAGTGACCGTGAGGACCAGCGGCTGGACTCTCACACAGTCGCCGCTACATCAGGACAAAGCAGTCGATCATCACCAGAGACAGAGAACCAGGAAGATCCCTCAGTCAAACGCATGCGCACAGAGAGCTGGGTAACTTAGGATGGCTTTTTAAAATTACATTTCGGATATGCAGACTGCTGTTGTAGCACATGTAGTGCAACAAACATAAAGGGCTGCTTTAGAAGTGTGAAGAAGTGTCTCTGAAAAAGAAATACAAAGACAGTTATTGTAAATGTGTGCGTTCCGTTTGTATTGTTTTAGGATTTTAATATTGATAAAAATCTAAGTTATGAAGTGTCTGACACATTTTTGTCAATAGAGGGTTAGCTGTGCTGCATTATTTGCAGTAAATAATTTTTTGCAAGCCAAATGTGTTATTTTATCTTTTGTATGTTTATCTGAATCCTCAATCAAAGCCATATAAATATTGATAGGGATTTACTATTTGCTGTCATTTAGTGTATGAGTTTGATGCCCTAGTGATCATCATTTTTAAAAGACATTTCATTTTGTTTCATTTTTGTGCTATAGGAAAAAAAAAACTGTTTGAAATGGCAAACGTAATCTTCCGTGGAGTGTTTACTTGTCTGTCAAGTTTTAGATGAACCTCAGGTATCTTGCATTTCAATCATCAACTGGCAGCCAAATGACACTTTGTTCTTTCAAGATTTGTGGAGAACAGGTGATAAAGTGGCCCAAAAATGATTGATTCATTAGATTTATTAATGTAACCAACCACCTTGCAAACGACGTGGTGGGTGATAAAATTAGCTAATCATAAATTTGACTTTTGTTCTTAAAACCACAATCCCTCTATAAGAGAACACACTATAAAACATGTCATATTCACAAAAAAAATATCTAAATATTTGTGAATTAGATGTTTAATATCATTTACGCAATGTGAATACTGATACTACCTGAAAATACCTGATTACACAAGCATTTAAAAATATATGAAAAGTATTTAAATGTCTTTTATAGTGTTTTTATCCATTATTCTGATTCTGCTGAATGTGATGGGGATGCTGTAAAGGAACAGTCGAGCTTTATAGCCATTTTCTAGTTGTTTTGTGAACATTAAACTCACAGTCTCCGATGAGACGTTTAGGTATTTTGCTGCCAATACCAGGTTTTATTTGACAGCTGTTGCTCTTTACTGACACAGGATGTTTGTTAGGCCAATGCCTTTAAAATCTTCCTTCATGCCATAAAATCACTTTTCTCTGACGCCAATGCATTCTGTGGAACTCTATTAGTTGTCTCAGTTTTTTCTCAAATCAAGCCGACCCCTTTATTGTTAGTAAACCTGTTAAATGGCAATAAACATATTATTCACTTCTGTTGCTGTCTGCATGGTTTAACTGCTTTAAAGCTATAAAAGGTTTCATCTATATAATAATTAACTAGGTCATTCACTTCTGTAGAAGGCTGTTTATGGTATTTTACAGGATGTCAATTCTTTGATGATGTTTGAGGTTTTTTCCTCATCACCACAGCGTGCAGAGATGACATTGTTCCCACCATTTTCACATTTGTTTTGCATTGAACACTGCTGGAAGGAAGTGTTTAATACCATAACTTCACTAGTTTTAAATGTAGTCAAAGGGATTTACTTGAGTGATCAGAACTCGTTGCATAATGCTTTGAATTGCATTTGAAACATTCATTCAGTGCTTTATTGCATCAGTTGCAAAGAAGATACAGTAGAGATGTTACATCTGGATCAACCTGGGGTGCCCCCTAATATGATATAAATGTATAATTAAACCTGTAAGCTTGTAGATACTCGATCCTTTAACCACTAGATCCCTACATAGTACCATGAATTACTGCATCAAAACATACTAAACTTAATTCGTCCAGTACTCATTCTTACTTGAGACTGTTTTCTTTTGCAGATCGTATTTGAGCACAATTGTCATTCCCATAATGTCAACATGTCATATGCACAACGGGAAGAAAACATGCAAAGAGTTTGTTTATATGCCAGTTAATGATAACGTTATCTCACAACTGGAAAATAATTATTAGCAGCCATACTGTTATGAGAATAGACTCAGATTGCAATCTGATCCATGTGACTGACAGATCACAGCAGCCTTGTTTCATACGGGCCAAAGAACGACCCCGCCGGGCAACAAATCTATTTCTTGTGGGACAATGCGTGTGTTTCTCCAGGGGGCGCCTGGTGGCTCAGAAAGCACAATTCTCCATTGAGTCCCGTTCAAATCCCAGTAGCATTTTTATATTTTTCAAGACATTTCTACACTAAAATGTATAATCGTTTCAATGTTGGTTGAAATTCTTACTTGTCTCACAAATGAAAACGCATCCCATCAATCTGTATAAAACCATTTAGCTGGTCATCTCAAACGACGGTGAACGGTGCATCCTTAACAGCGCTGAGAAAAGTAACGCGTGTCACGTGACAGCGCTGATAGTTTCCCAGCGTTCTAGACATTCCATTTAAAACTTACAGAATGGCACTGAGAAACGTTCATATGGATTACATATTCAATTAATAGTTAAATCAGCAGATTTGTTTTTTAGACCCAGCCTACCTGCCCAATTAAGGGCAACTTCCGGGCCATAAACATCAGTCCATGAATCATGCTAATCGCCGTTCTACCTACTTGTTGGATTTCGGTCGCTCGTTAGTGAAGTCTTGCTGCATTACTCATGTCACTCGTACTAGTGTAGGAAGTTAGTGAAAGCACTGCTGTGAACACATGGGATGCTTTCTCTTTGATCCAAAACGTCTTTGGTTTAAAGGAAATGTATTAAACCCTGAGCTCAGGTAGGAATACTTCTGATACAGTGATTTATTCAAATTAATGTCTATATATTCAAATAAATGAACACGAAATGTTTGGATCATCTACCTGTTGGCACTGTCCCACAAGTAAATGTGCATGCCTTGCTTTTCATTAATTTTGTTTGCCTTAATTTGTGAACACTCCAAATTGTGCAAACGTTGTGACCAATATTGTGATATGATTCATCATAATGCATGTGCTTCCGTTATCTCTTCGTTTCATAACTGCTGCATTTTTCACATTTTTAGTTGTCACTTTGCAGACAGTAATAGATCCTTCTTTGTGGAAGTGAATGTTGTTTCATTGTTTGTGTTGGTGGAGGGACAATGTGTGTGTTATTTTGTCTTAAGCCCTGTTGAAAAAACCAGCATATGCGGGTTAGGTATGTTTTGACGGGTTAGGTATGTTTTGACACTGGGATGCTGGTTTAAGCTGGTCCTTTGCTGGTTTATGCTGGTCCTTTGCCAGCATAAACCAGCAAAGGACCAGCTTAAACCAGCATCCCAGCGTCAAAACATACCTAACCAGCATATGCTGTTTTTTTCAACAGGAAAAAATAATAGTGTTGACATGTTCCTTTGAGAGTTTAAAAAGCTAAAAAGTATTTTCTTGTGCTTGGAATGGTCTTACATTACCTTCCTTTTACAGAGCACTAGAGCAGGTTTCACATGAAAATTCATTGGTCAAAATGTGTGGGAACCAGACATCCTGTACTATATTTGAAAAGGCACCCCAGTTGTTGATTTTGGCCTGAATTCTTTTGCTTTATATTATCATTACAGGGCTGTACAGTGCGACATATATGTCGCACGTGCTACAAAAAATACTGGTCTGTGCGATGCATAAATTTACCACTGTAGCACGGGTGCGATACAATTTTGCATGTTCATAACACAGCCGCTTAATAGTGTGAAGTGATTTCGTTGTGCTTGTTTGTGTGTGTGAGATTGATTATACTTGGTAGTTAGGGGTGTGCGATATGACGATTTTTGAATGTCTCCACGATCTGCTTTTGAAGAAACATCGTTGTATCGTGCTACAGCGTGCATTCTATTAGCTGCAGTTCTGGCGCCTCCCTCCGTCTCAATATAATGTACAAAGCCACATGCATTCACATTAGTGTTAGCTCAGCGGTAGTTACTCTCACGGGACACTGCACTTATGCGCAATCACAAAACTACATTATTTCATCAGCTTTAAAGCAATACCGGTTAAACATTTAATTCACGTGCTGTTCTGCATGCGCTTTTTCTGAGCGCGTACTCAAGAAGCGCACTCACACTGAGAGCCTGTCAAAAAGCGCCTGATTATTGGACTAAGTTGTCTTTCGCGTCTGATTGATTTAGCGTCTAATACTGTCAAAAACACACAAGGTTTACATATAAACACAGTTGGTCATGTCTAAAATTTAAGTAAACAGTTGAGAGAGAAACGCATGAAGCTCTTAAAGGGACAGTAGCTACTAAATATGCTGCCACCTGTCATTAAAGGGATAGTTCACCCAAAAAATTTGGCCTGTGCTACAAAACTTTCAACCTCTGTAGCACCAGTGCTATGTGAAAAAAAATGTTAACGTACAGCCCTGCATTAGTATCTAAACATAACAACCATATATGGAGGAAACTAAACAAACTCAGGTGTGCACATGTGCAGATGGATTGTAAATATCATATAGCATTGCTCTGACAGCTGCATGTGGCTCTAGACTCACTGTACAGCTGGGACAGAGCCTGACTGTACAAGTGAATGAAGTGATAATATTGGACCAAACGGAGGAAGTGTGTTTGAAGCATTATAAAAGCCGCATCGATGCCATTTGGACCGCACAGCCTTAACGGTTAGCTCAAACCCAACTTTACGACCAGCTTTATTTACTTAAAAGTTAATGATTATGATTATTATGCAGTTTGAGTAAGTGGTTGTATCTCATCATGCCTACTTTAGCTGATGTCGGTGTGTCTGTTGTGCTCGATATCAGTGTAGTCCTCAACAGATCTCCTTTTATTGGTCGCCATATTTGAAAGGTTTTCAATGTAATGCAACATTTAGAATTTTCAAACACTGATTTCTTAGAATTAGCCTTTGTCCAAGAGATTTTTTTTAAGGATGTTATGTTATCGTTAACTGCAAAGTGAAAGTGTTCATGAAATGTGATGTAAATAGACTTTTGCAATATTGGATGTTTTCTGAAATTTGATTGGAAAATATTGTAGTTATTACATTTCGTTATAGTTCCTCAAGCAATTGTAAAGGTTTTATGTTAGTTCCTCAAAGTGTCATCTCAAATAATAAATTGTGCAAGACGGTATAGCCTAGTAGAATAACATAAAAGAAAGTCTGGAATCTTGCTGTCTAGTATGTTAATCTTGATCAAACTATTTAGCATGATAGTTTTGAAGTAAATTTGACACTGACCAAGAATTATCTGTGGTGTTTCTCAAAAACCACTACTGTGATATTACCTAGCCATTTCCTCAAAATGGTTAGTTGGCTGTAATCCAGTGCCTGATAATATATCAGACTGTATTGGGAGATGCTTCCCAGACAGGTTCAGTTTTTGAGTAAGATTTGTAGTGCCACAAAGTGCCATTATGGCAGATTTAGAGGATTCTTGTCATGGAAGCATGATATCCTGACGCTTTAAACCTTCAGTTCATGTTTAAATCCATGAAAGGATTATGCAGCTATTGCTTTTTAGAAATAATTCATATATATCTATACACTACATGCATGCTATTACTCCAGTCTTCAGTGTCACGTAATCCTTCAGAAATCATTCTAATATGCTGATTTGGTGTTTAAGAAACATTTCTTATTATTGTTAATGTTGGAAACAGTGAAAACCATGTTCAATTTTTTCAGTATTCTTTGATGAATAGAAAAAAAACAGGAAAAAAAAAGCATTTATTTCAAATATAATTTTTTTTATATCATTGCCTTTACTGTCACTTTTGATCAATTTAACTTATACTTACTGAATAAAAGTGTTAATTTCTGGAAACAAAAATCTTATTGACCCCAAACATTTTAAAGGCATTTGATAGATAGATGGATAGATAGATAGATAGATAGATAGATAGATAGATAGATAGATAGATAGATAGACAGATATTGTAGAAATAATAAATAATTTATTGATACACATATATATATATATATATATATATATAAGTAGAAACTGTAATAATAGTAATAATAATCTTAATAATTAAAACTATAATGATAAACAAAATCCGTATTGCCAGAAATTGCTGTACTTGGTTGATGTGCTCGCTTACAAACCCAAGTCAAAAAAGCCCATCCCAAGTCTTTTTGTCATTATTTGACAGGCAACAATTGTGACGCAGATGACTTTGAAGCATAATAGCAGCTCAGTCGCTCATCATTTGCATCATTCATGTCCGCTCTGAAGTTTAATACTTGCTTGGGTCAGGTTTGTTTATATGCCTAACCCTATGAGCAATAATATTAGTGATGCTTGCCTTAGTAAACACCT